TCAAACCTCCTACTCTTTGCAATAACACAAACTAGAACAGAAAAAACAAACGCACAGCGGAAAAAAAAAAAAAGAATAGCAATGAAAAGTCATCTTACACTATAACAGAAATATTCGAACAAAAATGAAACAAAATAAACATGCCCAGCATCGGGAAGCCGAAGCAGGGAGCCCTACATTCCTGGCCCTCTCCGGGCTTGGTGCAGTCCCAGGAGCCTGCGGCTTCGGGCTTAGAGTTCGGGGTTTCGAGGTAGGGTCTAGGGTTTAGGGTTTAAGGCCTAGGGATTAGAGTTCAGGGTTTAGGGTTTCGGATCTTGAATCCCAGGCCCTAGGCCCTAAAACTAAACCCGAAAACCCTAGACACTAAACTCCCTAAACTCCCTAAACTCCTAAACCCCTAGACCCGAAACCCCTAGACACTAAACTCCCTAAACTCCCTAAACTCCCTAAACTCCCTAAACTCCTAAACCCCCAAAAACACTAAGCCCATGAGGGTTTGGCTTTAAGGGCAATCCCAGGAGCCTGCTCTCGGCGCTGATCGTGTATAGAAGCTTTATGGTGATGTACAGCAAGTTTCAATGGGGCCGTATAACCCATAACGTTTCTATCATGGGATTGATGCTCTATGGGGTCTTATAATTCTGTTGGAAACCAAGATTGTTGCCTGGTTGCATATAAACGGGCTCGAAAATTCGGGGCTATGCGAGAATTATAGAAGGGAACCTCGGGAATACTGAAATCAATTCTTCCGCAGGGTGTTACTTGCGGGTTTACGGCTTGGGATTTAGACTTTAGGTCCTTGTAGCGGTGCTTTAACCGGTTTCGGGGTTTTGTCTCAAGGCTGCAAGGCGATCGAATTGGGCTTGCGAGGTGTAGCATCGGGAACCGCGCATGGGTTTAAGTTTAAAAACCCTAAACCCTAAACCCTAAGCACTAAACCCTCAACCCTATAAGTCTTAGTTCCTGACTTCCCTGACCCCAAAAATAGCTGGCGTGCAGTTGTCGCAGGGTTAGATTAAACCCAGAAAAGGCAAAGGTTACTCAGCTGCTGCAGAACCCAGACTTGGGAAAGGATCCGCAAAAAGCGTAAGACCCTCCCTAAACCCTAAACCCTAAACCCTAAACCCGAAACCCTAAACCCTAAACTCCAGAACCCAGCACTAGAAACCGAAACCCTTAGCTCCTGGCCCTAAGCAACATCACTGACTTCTGAAGAACCCTAAACGCCAATCCCTAAGCGCTAAACCCTAATCGCCGACTTCTGGCAACCCTGAACCCTAAACCCTGAACCCTAAACCCTAAACCCTGAAGTTACCTGCAGGAGGGTCGGGCAAGAGCGTTTCGTTGCAGGAGACCACATAGACCGGGGGCAGGCTCGGCACGAAGAACCTCAGTATGTGGGGTTTAGGGTTTAGGGTTTAGGGTTCATTTTAGGATCCTTTTTTGTTAAGGGTGCCGTAGAATTTTGGGGATCTGAACAGGGACTCTAATTTAGAGAACCTCAGTATGTTCAACACCTGGAGTTTGCGGCTGGCTGTTGTAGGATTTGGGTGTTTAGGGTTTAGGGCGGGCTGAGGGTGTACAGTAAACGGGTTTAGGATTTAGGGTTTAGGGTTTAGGGTTTAGGGTTCTGGGATTCCCTTTACATTACTCTTAAGGATAGAGGCTATTGGGTTTCCAACTTTGGGGTTTTTAGTGTAGGCGTTGGGGTTTGGGGCTTAGGGGTTCTAGCGCACACACTCCTGGGCAGGTACACCCTAAACCCTAAACCCAAAACCCAAAACCCTAAACCCTAAACCCCACATAGCAGTCTTCAGCTACTGGTCCGGTTTCCTCACAGTGCACTACAAAGATCAAATCTCCGACCCGGCCCCCCTAAATTCACACCATCCCCTTCACACGGTTTAGGGTTTAGGGTTTAAGGTTTAGGGTTGGGTTTAGGGTTTAGGGTTTAGGGTATCGGGCTTAGGGACTCGATTTCTACCCTAAACGCTAAACTAAAGCACTGAGGATTTCAGCTTCGGGCCCACGGCTTCTGGATAGAGGAGCTGGAAAACAACCATCGTCAAATGCTAAATCGGTTTAGGGTTTAGGGTTTAGGGTTTAAGGTTTAGGGTTTAGGGCTAAATCCTAAACCGTGCAAACCCTAAAACTTGAAAGCACTCCCGGCGCCGCGTATTCTGATTCCGGGCTCCTGCAAGGTTGCACTCCCAGTTTGGCAAACCTGTATCCCTATAACTTATAACCCTAAGCCCTAACCCTACATTCCTAAACCCTACATTCCTAAACCCTGAACCCTAAACCCTAAACCCTAAACCCTAAACCCTAAACCCTGAACCCTAAACCCTATAAACCCTAACCCTACATTCCTACACCCGAAAACATAACCTCCTACACTCGAAACTCCTGAGCTCCAACTCCTCTGGTACAGTAGAAAGGGTTTAGGGTTCAGGTTTCAGGGTTTAGGGTTTAGGGTTTAGGGTTTAGGGTTTAGGGTTTAGGGTAGAGTGTCGGGGGGAGTTTATGTCACAAAAAGCTCAAGCAACCCCAACCGATAGGTTTTACTAGCGGCGGACCGTCTCTGAGGCTCCCTGACGGTTTAGGATTTAGGGTTTAGGGTTTAGGGTTTAGGGATTTGGGTTTAGGGATTTGGGGTT